GGGCCGGGCTGGGCTCTCCGGGGCTCAAGGCGCCCCGCACCAACGCGCCGTAGGCCCTGGGGGTGAGGGGGCGGGAAGCGTCGTTCGCTGGCCTGGCGCTCGGGATGAGGTGAATTTTCCCGGCTGCTCAGCACCCGCGGGTCAGCTGGAGCTAGGGGCAGCGGTGGGTGACTTCACCCGCAGCGGGCTGGTCGCGGAAATTTCAGCTCTGGGTAGCATTTTAAATGTTAGAAAACTTCATACAAATTTTTGCAAATATGGTGCTGCTGCTTTTTCGTTTGCAGCAGGACTGCTCCTGTCGGAACGCAGCCCATCTGGCAGTAACGTGCATTTTCTCTTGTTTTTTTACGACAGAGTTACTGTCCGGAGATCTCGACAGAGAATTGTGATTTAGGTAAGCCTCTCATTTAGCCATCTGCAAAGCGTGTTCCGGTGTTTAAGTAGAAAGTTGCCAGCTACAGCCAGCAAGCTGGAACACATTGATACACGTGGGATAGCCAAAAGCAACCTGAAATGTATGAATTGGAGAGGGTTATGAATCAACATTATTATTGATTACTTCAGCAGGCTTGCCTTTCTATTTTAACAGTGAGAGCTCAAAATTGTCGTGATGAATCATTGCGTATACCTTACGAGTGCAAAACATTAGACTCTTTTTACAAGCAAGTAGCATACCCCAGAGGAAAGTTTGATTAAGCTCGTACAATTCATTTACACTGATTAACATAACTACAGCACATAGTACTCCTGACATCTGCCAGGAGAGGGCTGTATAGCCATAGTGATAATATAAAAACTGCCTCACTCTTTACCATTATTTTTGTACCCTAAAAAAAAGTGGTTTAAAAAGTGCTTCTGAATTCCAAAGTTCCTTACAAGAAAGAACTTGCTTATGGGCTTTAAGTGCAGACCAGAGAAGAGCCACAGGATTAAAGGCAAAGCTCAGCATAAGATCTCTGTGGCACAGTTAAATGAATGTATTGGCAAGTGTTCCGCTGCCGGGGTGGCTGTGGGTCACTGACTCTGCAAAGGTCTGCGGTACTCGCCCTTGGACCTTGCTGGAAATCAGTAATAAAATGCTAAGAATGCCCTGGAGAGGGCAGAGGCAGGCTTCAGCCCTCCTGGCAGAACAAGCTCAGAGGGGGAGAAGTGGTGTTTTCTGCTTTTGCAAGCATTTTGAAGCCCTGATTATGGCGTGGCTTTTCACATTTGCTTTCTCAGCTGGAGTTTTAGTGCCAAATGCAGCACAGTGTCACAGTGGCACTGCAGCCAGTTAGGAAAGCCCTGTAACAGTATCTGTTTCAAAGACGTTCCTCTCATACTTGTCTGCTCCTTTTTCCTCCTTCTTGCCATTTATTCTAAGTCCTTTCAGTTGTGCCGCTGCATCAGTCTTTGAGGTTGGTGCTCTATATCAAATTAAGTTTTGTGGTGTTGTTTGTTTTTTTAAAATTCAGATTACGTCATTAAGTCATTTAAGAATATGTCCCTGGCAATGGTTGTGTCAGCCTAAAGGTGGGGAGAATAAACAGTAGGAAAGAGAGAGAGAGAAGAACGAGTAGCAGGAGGAGATGCATCCCAACCAAGCTTCCTCCTCAGGTAAACAGTAAGGCAAACCCAAACCCTCAAGTCACCACAGGCTCAGCGATATTGTTGTTGTCATCTTTTAGTGCCTTTGGAGGAAGAATAGGGAAAGTCCATTTCTAAGGAAAAGGTGTTTGCCCAAGGGACCTACAAGCTATATGCTGGTAATCCCTCTGCTGAGAGGACTCTGAGCAGGCTGTTTGGGGGCTTAGGGCAGATTTCACCAGGTCTGACATCTGCCAGCTCTCGAGAAGATAATCTTGAAGACGGACTCCTTCAGAGGAGGGTGTGCGCTCTCTCTGAGGACACTGATCAGCAGCTGGCCACTCCCATGTCATCCTGTGTTCATTTACAAGAAGGGATCTGGTTGTTGATTGAAAAGATGAAACTGAAAGTACTCACAGGCTTGCAGGAAACAGCAGAGAGCACAATGCTGACTGTATCCAAATGTGTTAAACTGACAGAGTGCTCTTGAACTTTCCTGAAACTCACACTGCTGTGATTCATGAGGCATTGGAAGGAAAGAGAAGGTCTTGAGGAAAGATGGGAAAGGAGCTACTAGATGGGGAGGTTAATTTGAACAAAATAATGAACAGCACTCAAGGCCTTGGTTTCTTTGCTTAGTTGGGCTTTCTAAGCCTATGAAAAAGGTAAGTAATGACAGTAGGATAAAATTGAGAGCTATAAACCACACTTCGATACAAAAAGCAATGTTTTGACAGTAGTATCTTGGATTTCACTTTATATTATTCTGTATCCTAGGGCCAAGCATGGTAATGGATGAGGACAGCTTGATGATCTCCATCAATAAAGACACCTATGAAGTTCTTAAGAGAAGAGAGGACTGTCTACGTAATCTCATTTTTGAAAAGTTTGCTTGTACATTGGCCTTCAAAAGTGCAAAATGCACTGGTGAGGTATACAGGAAAAACCTAAAGCAGGGAATTGACATTTGTGTTTGTGAGGATGATCTCACAAGACACAAGGTCGATGCTTTGGTGAATGCAGCCAATGAATATCTAGATCACGCAGGAGGCCTTGCTTTAGCCCTTGTGAATGCTGGAGGACCAGAAATACAAGAGCAAAGCAATCTTCATATTCAAAAGTATGGAAAACTCAAAACTGGCAAAATAGCAGTGACAGGTGGAGGGAAGCTTCCTTGTAAGGAAATTATTCATGCAGTTGGTCCAAGGTGGACCATTCATGAAAAGGAAAAATGTTGTGACCTACTTCAGGAAGCTATTAGGAATGTTCTGGAATACGTTAGTGCTCCAGGAAAAACTATAAGTTCTGTGGCTATCCCAGCAGTGAGTTCAGGTGTTTTTGGCTTCCCACTCAGTTTATGTGCTCAAGTGATTGTAATGGCTATAAAGGAATTCGTTGAGGCAAGTCCATCGAGCCATCTCAGGGAGATCCGCCTGGTGAACATTCATAAGCCTACAGTTGCAGAAATGAAGGCGGCATGTGAAAAGTTTCTGGGTGATACCAGTTCACTTCAGGAAACTCTTTCAGCTTCACCAAGTTATTCTTCAGCTTTCATCAAACATGAAGGCATTCGCTTGTTCATCGTAAGAGGACTCATTGAAGAGCAGAAGGTAAGTCTGTCCCATAAGATGTTGAACATGGAGTTGCCTTCAAGTCTTGGCAGGGTTTGGAGCCCAAGAGTTCAAAACACGTATTGGTCCACTAAATAGTTATCTGCTCATCCCAATGAGAATTTACAAATGCTAAATAAATTATAGCATCAAGGAGTTGGTTTGGTTTTTGGGGTTTTTTTCTAAATGGGTTTTAAACATTACAAGATTTGTATTTCTTAACATGCTGGTTTGGGATAATAAGAAGCAGCTAAAGCTTGGATGATTAATAATGATAATAATATATCCCTATGTTAATGTTTCTCTTCTTATTATAACATCATGGGAGTTCACATTTTATCATGCATTCCCTAGAAGTCTACTCTTATTTTTTGCCTTGCTTTTTTTCCTGTAATTGATGTTCTCATTGGTGTCGCTACCGGAGTTATTCTGCAAACACTGAAAAAGCTGAAGATAATTCGTACAGATGATGTGCATGTTATATTTAAACAGTGCATCATTTAAATTGATTCATTTAACTTTTTTAGCTAGAAAATCTGATGCAAAATGTATGAGCTTAGTCGTAGTAATCTTAGACTGGAAGCAACATCACAGGAATGGCATTTGCTTTCAGCAAATACTGTATCTTAAAAAAAATCATAACTTTTATTTTAAAGAAATATCTCAACTGAATAGGAAGTTCATTCTGTGAGGTGAGAGCAAAGGATCACAAAGTTGACGACATGGGGAATTTTATCAACCATTTCTACAGCACTGAAAGATACCACATGCCTTCAAGACTATGAGGAAAATATGCTCCAAAGTCTTACATCTTTAGATTATCTTCAACAATTAAAGTTAGAATAATTACTGCTGTTATCAGCATTCTGTAAACAAGCGTTTTCCATTTTACATTTTTAATTTGAAATACAGAAGACCTGCTACAGGAATCTGCCATTTCCACTGGGAATTGGAAGCAACCATAGCTTTGCAGTTCCCCTGTATGCGCTGACCCTGCTAGTTTGGGGACGAGTGCTTGCTACCCTGACGTGGGGAGCATCTGTGTGGGCTGGGATAACAGACATAGCCATAGTTCTCTGCTGCTCATTGATAATTGGCTGCAGAATTGCATTTGATGAGGCGCGTATGGGTCACTTCTATAGGTGCAGTAATAATTCTGTTGAATACATTGTGATGACTTGAATGGGTCTTACGCATGCAGTTGGCTTCTGAAAAAAAAGTATGCATTTACTGCCCCTAGAAGGTGCATCCTTTGATGTACCTTCTAGGGACAGAGGAAATGGCCTCAAGTTGCACTAGGTGAGGTTTAGGTTGGACATTAGGAAAAATTTCTTCACCGAAAAGGTTGTCAAGCACTGGAACAGGCTGCCCAGGGAAGTGGTCGAGTCCCCATCCCTGGAGGAAGATAGGCAGATGAGGTGCTTAGGGACATGGTTTAGTGGTAGAATGGCAGTGATAGGTTAATGGTTGGACTTGATGACCTTAAAGGTCTTTTCCAACCTAAACGATGCTACGATTCTGTGATTCTATGTACTCTGGCACTGCCCTTGGTAGTAGAAAGAGAACATTCCAAACAGCTGATCTGCTGCAGTCAGGCTTTTTTTAAGGAATTGTTCCTAGAAGGAATGCTCTCCATAGTAGTAAAGCTTGCAAATAGTAAACTTGAAGTACACTGAAACTTTGCACTCTTTTCTTCCAGACTACAGCTGTTGTTAATTCTGTGTCTGTAAATGGCGAGCCTTACTATCCAGCGTCAAGAGGACTGCTGCAAAAACTGGGTTCAGCTCTTCAGGATGAACTTCAGGCTCGTTTTAAACATCCTTCATCTTACACAGAAGTCATAGTAACAAAAGGGTATAATCTGCCCTGTGAGTTTGTACTGCACATTGTATGGCCGCAATACTGCCACAAGGTGTTACTGTGTGAGGTGATGATCAGTTAGATTGGATTTTAATTGATTTTCTTGTTGAGTGATGTGAGGACTAAACTGCTTGTTTTTCCTGCAGGCATTAAAAGCTGCAGTGACAAGATGCCTGAATTGCTTTCAGAACCGGGAGTCTCCCTCAATTTCTTTTCCAGCAAGCGGGATTTGGTCGTTAAAGCTGTCTGTTGATCTGGTGGCAGAGATCATGACTGAAGCGGTTTTAGATTTTGCCAGGGCTTACCCTGAGAAGAAGATAGAGGTGCAGTTTGTCTGTTGCCCAGATGACTACGATGCCTATCAGGTAACGAATTTGTTGTTAACTACCAATAAGGAAACCCCTAATCTGTAAAAATATTCCCTACAAATTAAGATAATCTGAATTCCATACTACTTATCGAATTTGTGAGTGGCAGGTCCCTTTATAGAACTATTTGTCTCATTAACAGATGTTATTAATCTTTACAAAACTTTATTTTCTCTTCACTTAAGCTGAAGTCGTCACCCTGTGGTCTGATAGCTAGGGGAGGGAGCTCTAGAATTCCTATGACTTATCAGTGAATTTATTAGAAAGAGTCTGCTTTTAACTCACTAGGGGATAAGCTTATTCCTCCTCAGGAAATTTCTTGGACTATTTTTTTTGTATGAAGTTCCCAGGGCAAAACACTTATCAACACATTATAGGACCTAACGTGACAGAAGGGTTGCAAACAGACACTGGATAATTTCAACTGCAGTGTGCCATTTTCCACGTTTTGAATATTTGGCCAATGTGATTAATACACAACTATTTAGGTAGCCATCTATTATAAAAGTACAGAGTTTGCTTTTGTTTCCGTTTAACTTCACCCATCCATTCTTTTAACAGGAAGGGGAAGAGGGTTGGAACAAGATGATCTTTAAGGTCCCTTCCAACCCAAACCACTCTATGATTCTAAGATCAGATCCATGTTCTGTAACAGTCCCATAAACTCTAGAGGAAGCTGTGTCACAGCTATGCACTCATCACCTAATCCCTTGATAATCAGGGCACAGCGGAAACTCTTTTTGCTGAAAAAATGAAGGAAAGGCAATTTGCCACATGCCAAATCCACTGCCTAGCAGAGTAGCACTTCTCAGAGGCTTTCCATGTGTGATCATGAAGCGGAACTTTGGGGTAAATCAGGGGAATAGTCTGGGGTTTAAAACTGAGTAAGGATTCATCAGCATTAAACTGCAAGTAATGAACGCCTTATCTATTGTGGTTCCATGGATTCTGGATATGCCACAGCCACAAGGAGTTGGCAAAGGCGCTGTTCAGCGTGTAAGGTGTCTTACCTTAGGAGACATAGAAGAGGAAGGCATTTGGTATTGTCAGGAATAACATTTTGGGAAAAACTGACAAATGTCAGCTGTTAACAGTTTTGGAATTTGGGGGGAGGGGCGTAACTACAGCTGTAAACTGCTTATCTAACAGAGTTTTGAGGAGACAAATCGCATATTTGACAACAGAGATTGCAAATTGCTCCTAAACTTTTCTCTTTCAAGGTTTTCCAGAGAAAATTTTCTTCAGCAGCATGCAAACTGGAAAAAAAGCAGTGTTACAACAGAAGTGATGATTTGAGTAAGTAATGAACAGAAGGGGCATTTCAAGTAAATGAGCACTCCAGATTTGAGAATCTGGAATTGCATTCCTTTAAAAATAGTGTTTGTGTATGTGTCTTGGGGAAAGGGAGAGGCAAAACTGTGTCAGCGTTTTGCATTTTTACATTAATAGGAATGGAACTGGGCAGTACCTTATAGGATTTTCAAACGTAACAAATCATCCCAGTGCCTAACTTGTTGGAAGTCATTTAGTGGAAGGCAAATAAATTCTGCATATGGGATTTTTGGTTTTTTTTCCTGGAAGCCTTATCTCCTGGTATCTAGTCTCTTGGGTTTTGAGCATATTGGAAGAATAGTGTGTTTCTTGCACTGTACATCTTGGATTACATATAGGAATTTGTGACAGCACTTGAAAGCTCTTCACTCTTTCAACGCATCTGTATAAAAAAAAAAAAATCATCTTTCTTACAGAGTCAGGCAGTCAAAGCGTAAAAGAGATTGCAAATAATGAAGCAGCTGTTGAACTTAAAGGGAAAACACAAACAGCATTAGAAGGAGCAGAATCGTGGATCCAAACTGTGGTAAAAATTCATGAACGTCACCGTGCTGTTATTGAAAGCAACTACATTTTTTGCCTTGGTAAAAACGAGCTTGCAGCACTATCTCAAGAGCAGCATCCTAGTGTACGTATATCAGAAGAAGTGCGAGGTGGAAACGCAAAACTGGAATTTCAGGGGCCCCCTGATGCTGTGATTGATGCAGTGCTCGCAACTGAAAAATTACTGCTTCGTATGCAAAAGAAGACTACAGACAAGCAAGAGGAACTGCTGTACTTAATGTGTATGTAAAGAAAATAAGTGACTAATTAAGTAAATAAGTGCCTAAATAAGGTCATGTATGAAGCAACAGATACCTATGTATTGCTGAGAGTGGACAGACGTGCATTCACTTCACGCACATACTGAGCATTGCTTTAATTACCGGTATTACTGTACTATTATACGAGCCCCTGAAAAAGCATTTATTAGCTCTGGTTACTTGCTTGGCAATATTCCCAGTAGGGCACAGTTTACACAGGGGCTGCCCATCGTTGCCCAGCTGTGATGGGTTGGCTTCCTCCAGGACAGCTTCACTTTAAAGCCTGGCCACTGGAGGCTTACAAAACTTACACTTTAATTAACGCATACCTTTGCTGAGCTCTTCTGCTAGCTGCAGCTGGACCACTGTTGCAGGACCCGCCAATGGACTTGTTCTGCAGGGCCCCTGGCTTCCACTAATGGTGGATAGAGCTAGTGGCATTACAAAAAGCTACCGAGTGATCCATTTTTCCTCGTGTTTGTATAGTCATTCAATATTGATAACAGTATTTGAAAGTTGGGCTGTGGAGAGATGTAATGGAGAAGATATATTGCTTTTCTGTGATTTTCTCTCTCTCTGGGTTCTTTAATAAATCTAGAAAAAAATGAATAAATTAATATATGTATTTCAGTCCCTCTCAGTATTAGCCTCTGGCATTACTCTGGAGAATATTTAACATTCTCTGCTCTTAACTAAACTACCAAACTAAAGTATTGGATCCCTCCTCCTTGCCTTTGCTTCAGATATTACATGAAAATTTTACTCCCTCATTTGTATCCAGGCCAACCAGAAGCAGGTCAGCTTTCAGAAGGAGACCTTCAGAGGACACACACTGCTAAGCACATCCAGATTTCACTGGTGGAATCATACCTTCAGGAGTTTAAGGAAAGGCAGAAACAGTTTAAAAAAGCTGGGCTTCATGTTCTCAAGGTAAAGAGGACAGGTATTTGTGGAAAAACTAAATCTCAGCTGATATATTTCAACTAACATGTTTAACATATGCTTAAACAATATCAGATGAACTATTTCAATATATGGCGCTTAAAAATTAAGATCAATTCAGCCTCATCCTTAAAATAGATGTAGTCTATTATAGATGTAATAAAAAGTATTTTAAAGATAATGCAAATAATCACTCAAAAAGTGTGGTTAAATTCTGAGGAGCCCTTTTAACTGTACCCTATATCCTGTCTCGTATTTCATGCTTCAAATGTTCCTTTATAGGACTCCAGAGAAATACGAGATTGCTGCGTTAGGAGGAGTACAGTATTGCAGGACACTAAGGCAGTGTCTCTCTTTTCTTCTTGTGAGCTTGACACTAAAAATTAGCAACTGAATTTGTCACAGTTATGATCTGATTAGTGGTGTGCTGCAGCTGGGATCTTGCTTGGCTATCAGTGCTTTACGGAATGGGCAGAGGATGAGGCTGTGCACCACAGAGAAATACGGAAGTTTGTAAACAGGGATTTGTGTGCCTAGTAGTAACAGGAAACCAGGCTGCCAGATGCCGAACTGCCTTTCGTACGAGAAAGGTATTTAACATTGAAATGGTAGCAAATACCAACCCGATGAAAGCAAGCACCGTTTGGTCTGCAGAACTAAAGACTTTGTTGAGGCTCAACACAAAAGCTATGTCAGAATTTAAAACGGTGCTGGACTGAGGATCGGTCATAGCTCAGTTAAATTACTTTTATTATTTATGTTACAGATTGAAAAGATACGTAATACTCTTCTATATGCTGCATTCCAAGAAATGAAAAAAAAAATGGAAGAAAAAAAAGATACTGCCAAAATAACCCACAGGCGGTGTGCCAAACTGGATTTCACAGGATGTATTCTCCACCAACAGGTAATAACTTGCTTTGGCATCTTTAATCAAAATGAACAGTGACCGACTACTAAAGTTGATTAAAATCAGAAAAAAAGGCATTCTTACCTGCATTTAGAGTCATATGAGCTTACTTTTTTATCAATGGCAAGTTTTGCCTGTTTTTCCTTCCTGATACAGTAGTCAGTAAGGCTCTGGGAGGATAAGCCTGGATTCTAGCCTAGCCCAGACACTGTTGACAGAACTGTTGATATACACATAATGCCATGTCTGGATTCTAGCCTAGCCCAGACACTGTTGACAGGTCAACTGTTGATATACACATAATGCCATGCCCAAGTTTTATTTTGTTGCATCATTCTTCAAAGAACGTCAACATCCTTAGGTACTTGCTGCAAACACGCGTTCAGCAGCTCAATGCTTTAAAACACGTTCAGAGGAATCGCAGAATAATTGAGGCTGGAAGGTGCTTCTGAAGGTCACCTAGCCTAACGCCCCGTGCAAATCGGGTGCTGTCAGAGACCGGGCAGACCACCCCTCCAACTGGAGTACGCTCGGGAAGAACGTTGTGGTGTCTGTGAAATATTGTCATAGCCTTAGCAGATAAATGTTTTCAGAAATGGAAAGCGTAAACATTTGGCACCTCATCCTGCAATAGGTGAAGGGTGTGGTATTTTGCTTGTCAAATGCAGAATTGGGATTTCGGGCAATAAACTGTTCAAAAAGTAGAGATTTGCCTTTCCTTATCCATGCAGTGTACGTGGCGCATTTTCACACTTTCAAAATAATAAATAGCATGATGGTGTAATTTCATTTCTTTGCACTTTTCCATGATACTGCAATACCATTTTTATGCAGCATGCTCCTTATAAATCCCAAAGCTTTTTTTGCATTTTAGTAATTGCATTATTAAAAACTTACCTTCTGTGGTGCGTATCAGTCCCTAGAACGTGATCGCAGAAGTGTTTATATAAATACATTATACCTTGATGTTTCTATCACTGGATTAACAGCTAAATCCAAACAGTCATCACTGGCTAGCATTCAGCTGGGATGGCCATCAGCTGTTACTGCCTGTGATGTCAATGGGAAGTCAGTGCTAGCATCAGAGCCACTGAATGCAGATTTACTTCCAAAAGGATGGCACGCGGTGCGAGATAACATAAAACGTGACACTAGAGTCAAGAAGCACTCTCTTAGTACTACCACCCCCCAAAAAACAGTTGTTAAAGGCTTTTATTTTTTTCTTCTGAAAATTTTTCTTTCTTTTTCCAGAACAAAAATATGGAGCTGGCATCTACTTTAAAAGGAACCCGAAAAGCCTAATCAAGGGTAAAGATGCATGGGAAATGGACTGTAAAATATATGTGTTTGAGGCTGAGGTATTAACAGGCTTATACACTGAAGGCAAGGCGTCTCACATTATGCCACCAGCAGTGCAGGGGGATGCCACGAAGGTATATGACAGCTTAGTAGATGATGTAAACAATCCTGACACCTTTGTAATTTTCAACAGTGTTGGGGCCCTTCCACAATATTTGTTGACTTGTTCCCAAGTGACAGAGAGGTACACAGCCCTCTGAGGAAACCAGGAGCATCCTGAGTAAGAACTAACCAGAACTGTAGCTGTTGTGAAGACCCGCTCAGTACTTAGATTTTTAAGAGGATGGTCTACCTGGTAATATGCTGTTATCAAACTGCTTCATGCAAAGTGCTCTGAAATATCTGGGAACAAAAAAAGTTAAGTCAAAACCTTAAGGAGATTAGAACAAAATGACCTGTGAATGGAAATGGAAGGGAAAGCATCAGAAAATACAGTTCAACATTTATCTGGTCATTTACTTTATGCCTTAAAAGCGTTCTGAGCATGTGACTGTACACCTGATGTTTGCACAGGTTGTCATTCGTCCGTTATATTTTCTTAATCTGAGATACTGCATATATTAGAGAAACCCAGGAGGTCTTGGTTGTGCCTTTGATTCTTAAATTCTCTTTTTACTTAAACAGGTCTATGTGTCAGGTGAAAGCTGTCTCCCACTTAGGGACACGCTATTAAATATACGTAGCTATGACAAACGTGAGGCAATACTTCATGACTTCTAGCAATAGTTGCCGTTACAGTTTTTATTAGTTAAGAGATTGCGAGCATTGTAGATACATGTATTCAAAATAAAAAGCATGAATGACGCTGACAGCTAACCTGTTATTTTTCCATAGTCTTAAGAAGGTGATTTGGACTGTATTTGAGCTACAGATTTCTCAGTGGTGTTCAATCTCTTTGAAAGGCTACAAAATAGTTGAGAACAGGTTCAAGCTACAGCTTGGAACTGCTCTTCAATTAATCTACCTTGATCGATATCTTTTAAAGACTGCAGTGTCAACCTTGTAGCTAGATATCCCCACGTTGCTTCTGTGGTGACCTGAAGCCAGTAAATGGAAAAGCCCAAGACCTATTTTACTCCTTTCAATGTAAAAGGGGATTCAGTCCAGCTGTCAGGTACTTTGAAACTTTCTGTATTAAAGCCTGAAACTGTGCCTGATGTTAGCAGGGTTTAAAACACATCTATTGCCCCAAACTAAAAGCTACTACCAGATTTGTCCAATCTGAAGGATGTAAAACCACCAGTTACAGCCCTAACTGAACACCCGAACAGCTCACAACAGTGCTGGAATACAGAAATAAAGGCTCATCTGTCAATATCGCGCCTGCTTCTAGACTGAAGAGTCATCTATGATTAAAACTGTAATTATATGGGGAGAATAAAGGCTCGGATAAAACTATTATGAAGCAACACTGCCATATGAAAAGCATTTCATCCATGTGTAAAGCACTGTGCTAATGGAGAGCAGTCTGAACCCTGAAACGCAGATGAAATTAGCGTTTAATAAGACTTTTCAAAATCATTTGTTAATGAATCCCAGCACATTCGTACTGCACCTCCAACTCTCAAGACAGCAGTCACACTTGCTAGAAACCACTCACAAGTCCAAAAGGAATTGTTATAGAAGTCTAATTCTGATCTCTAAGTGAGGTTGCAAACGGAAAATTTTTTTGAACCATTGCAAAACAAACTCAGGCAGATGAGGTGCTTAAGGCCATGGTTTAGTGGTGGGATGGCAGGCTTAGGTTAACGGTTGGACTTGATGACCTTAAAGGTCTTTTCCAACCTCAACGATTCTATGATTCAATTAATATAATCACTTTTTTGTTTTTAAATTCTTTTAAAGATTAGCTATGTCTACATTGTTGCAAAAGGGTAGCTTTTGTAGCATGTGAGCCTGTAATGGTAAAAGGAAGACACACACACACACCCACACACACCCACACACCTTGTTTCCACAGAAATCCCAAATTTGCTTTTAGGTAGCATGCTGGAAGTTTGAGAACAGAATTAGTCCATTTCTGTTTTAACTGTTCCATTTAAGCAACCAATTCTTCTCCTCTATTTTCTGTCCCGTTTTTCCTCATGTTTCTTAATTCACACGTTACTGACAGGGAAACACACAGCTGTATATTTAAGGTTCGTTAGGCAGCGTTGAACAAGAATAAGCTCTTAGTTCAGCTTGCTTCAAGAGGTTTCATTTTTTGAAGGAGTTTCATAGCAGGAATTATTTTTTTTTCTGGTTTCATTTTTGAAAAAACGCAAATACTTTTTTTTTGGCACAGCATAACATCTTTTCTCCTACTTGGAATAAAGAACAGTTTTCATAGTGCAGTATTATTTTAATACTGTTACACAAGTACTAGTAACAATGTATTTCATTAATAACCTTTTTATTAACTTTGTAACTCTTCTTAATTGCATCTGAAAAACATTGGTAGTCAGTTTAATAGAAAAAATAATTACTGAGAAAATTTTAACAGCACATGCTCCTCCCTCCACATATACCCGCAGTTTATAAGGATTCAGTCTTACTGAACATTCATTTTGCATTTTATTATAGCGAGATTTTTTTTTCTAGTATATAATTGCTAAAGTTCGCCTGTGCTCTCTGCACTTTGTGATATAATATATATTCTACATGTATATATAGTTTTTTAAAAACTGGTAATGTAAGAGGTTGTATAGAATTATTTTCATCTGGTCCTCAGAAAGAATAATTTCATATACAGAAACTAGAAAATAAACCCAGCACAAACTAGATGTACCAAGTAGTACATATTAAAATAATTACCACAGTAATTGAAAATTCCTGATCTTGGTCCTACAGCAATCAGTTCACTAGAGGCTACTCCACAGCCTCTGGGATTTCTCTGTCATCCACAATAAGGGTATGAATAATTCCTTCCTTTCGTCTTCCACTACTGACAGCCTTAATGCAACAGCTGTGGTCACCAACACTGAAGTGAGTTTCAGTCCCATCTTCTACAAATTCACCCTGGGAGAAAGGAGACAAGAATAAAACCAGACACGTGCTATTTTAGTAAAATAAAAGCTTGAGCGCATCAGACTGTTTCCAAAGCCAAGATCCCTGGCCGTTCCCGCAATGAAGCCGCCGTAGGTACCTTGACAACCACAGCGCAAACGCCCAACAAAGCTGCAGAACCTCAGACAGGGCTTTGTCAAGGCGTCCAGTTAAAGACTGGTGGGTATGAGATGGCAATCAAAACTTCACATAGTCAGAAATGGTGAAGTTGGAGTTTGCGAATTAGTATTGTTGATCCACGTCAGTGAAGCAAAAATAGGAAATACAGTTTCCTTCCGAGCTGCGCAGTACAGCCAGTAAGCGCCACACAAACCTGCGCTGAAGTGGCAGTAAAATGGGAAGGATTTCCTGGTGCCTGCTACAGCAGAACAAATCAATCCCTGAACTGAGCATCACAGTCGTGTATTTTGGATACACAGCTCCTGCTGCAGTTATGCAATTTCCTGTTACAGATTTTGCCACACAGGGCTGTGTTTCTGTCAGTATCTTTGGGAAAGTAGAAACATCTGTGTGCCACTCTAATGCAAGCACGGTTTGGCAACTAAACCTGTACTCGTAGCGTGCAAGAATATCTCCTGGTGCATTTATTACATTACAGAAAAAGCTGAGAACCATCAAGAGCAGACATGCTGATGCACTGGGAGAGGATGTTCCTTCCACAGATTACTGAAGAAACATTTGGTTTCTCTTTATCCTGCTCTCAACTACAGCAAAACTGTTGATTTTACAATTGGTACTCGTCCAGGCGATTACTTGTGGCAGTAGTAATCGCAGTGACAACTCTCTGGTGAGAAAGCACGCCCTTCAAGGGTGGGGAAGCCTACGCAGTATGCATATTGAAAGCCATCATAATATAGAAAGACACCAAATAGATTTAAGCCTTCTAGCTGTCAACCCACTCTAAAAATTAATTCAGGTGTGATAGAAAGATTTGATTTGTTCCAATGAGACTCTTAAGCCCCAAGTGCTAGGTACCATCTCTAGATAGAAAAAAATTGTGAGTCCTAACAGACTACACGTCTTCAACTTTCAGTCACCACTAACACAGGCAGGCTGGGATGAGGTGGCTCTATACTCTGCATCAAACTCAAGTCCCTCCCACTTCCTGGAAAGTTTTCTTCCTAAAAACCCTGGACAGCTGACCCAGAAGGTTTATTTTGCTTGTCTAAAAAGTGTAAACTAAAGCACTGTTTATCCTTAAATCGACAGACGTTTGGCATCCTGACTGAAATACTGTCAGTTGTAAAATGGAGTGAAGGGCACTCGGAACAGACTAATGGCATGCTGGCTGCCTAGGCGTACGCTCGTACCCTGCCGTAAAGCCAGGTAGCGTGCCCCTCTGTGGCTTCTTTTGCTAAGCTTTGGTTACCTAGCCACAGCCTGTGAAAAGCCTTTGGAAATGATCACGTACCGCTGTTTCCATTTTTTGACCGTTGCACCACACATCCATGGTGTCCTTTTCTGTGAAGGAAAAAGAAAACAAAAAGTAGGAAGAACAAGGTTCCCCCCCACCCCCTACAGACAAGAAGATCTAGGAATTTTTAAAACTTACTGTTGAATCTTACTGTCAATTCCCAAAAGAAGTTCCTAACTAGCCATAGTACCTGGGCTAGAGGGTTTGTTCTTCTACTGGAGAGATGGGAGGCCCTGTCATCAATGGGCAAACAACTTTTGCTATGAACACACATTTTTACCTCTCCCTAGCCCTGGTTATTAACACTGGGTTGTTCTGAATATTGCCAAAGATGCTAAACCGAAAGTCATTCTTAAACTGAAAATCTTGAAGACAGAAAAATGAAGTAATTTCTACTAATTATTTGAGTGCTGTTTCAATGAAGATGTAACACTTTTTCCAGGTCAGTTGAATTCAAAAGTAGCATTATTTAACTTCCAGCAAGCTGTTTGTACTCTTAAAAATCTCCTTGAAAACCCAAGTACCACTTTAAATATGAATCTTAGATTTTTTTCATTTGAAACAGAATATTCTTTTACTTCTCCCAGCACATCCTCCTTAAATTACTTTGCTCTAGAATTCATGTTACTGATGCTGCCATCCACAGGACACCAGTGGAGAGCTGCACACCGCTTCCCTTTTAAGTAAGCATAGGGATTAAAAGTCTGTGAGGAGACTAATCTGTTCCTGGCATTAAAATTGTCTTTCTTTCCTGCCCGTTCATCTTAGGGCTGTTCATTCTGTCCTGAGGCTTAAGAAGCAACCATAGCCCAAGATCTCTTGTCTTCAGGTCTAACCATACGGCAATGCCTAAGTGGAATTTTTCCCACTAGATGCCACTGACGAATTCCCCAGGGGATCCCTTCCTCCCACCTGCTTGTAATGTGTTTGGGAAAGGGGGGCGGAAGAGAAGAAATGTATTGCCTTGCTATTAAGAAAGTGAAGAAACATCATCTGAAGTGTTTAGATTAAATTTGTAGTTAAGAAGTGATGCAGAAAAAGGGACGCCGATTAATCTACCAAGAACATAGAATAACATTGTCCCACTTCTTCAGTTCAAGACTCCTTGACTTTGGCTTATGATTTTTGGAAGGAAAGCCTCGTTACCTGGTTAACAAACTTACACATGCAGCAGGCTCGATCACATCGCAGACACCACTTCTATAACATGCTTCACCTGGAAAATTGCCTTGCTCTGGCAGCCCTAGGGCTACAGAAGCCACGATTCCTTCCAACCTTTTTCTTTTTGTAAACCCAGACCGTGCTGCTGTAGAACAGAACACGGACAGCAAGCTCACACGCACGTAACAAGACCATTGGGTTTTTTTCAGACCTTGGCATCTGATTCCAAACTTCCAGACCACTCGGTATTTTATGCTGCAACAGTGCTAGCCACTGAACTGTGCTTTCTCTTAATTACCAGTTATTAAATGTATACAAGGGTGTCCAAAGGCAGCAACATGAAGTCACGCCACGTCTACTTACCTAGAACAACTCTATAGTCCGTGCCACCCAGGCTTAGTACCCAAGTATTGGTTGTTTTTGACCTGTTCTCCATGTACTTCTTGAGGCTCTTTCCATCAATCTCCAAAGTATATTCATATGCAAAGCCACTGACTGCATCGATGTTAATAGTAGCTTTTGTTTTGGCTGCTCCAACAGTGAATGTTTCTTTACCCACTAATTTAAACATCCATTCTTTTCTTATTTCTTCCTGTAGAATAGAACAAAGACAATGGGTATTAATTGATAAACCTGAACACATGTATTAGCATAAAAACCCCCTGAACTAGAACTCGGGAAACAGCTTGGTACTTAACTATTATTTCAGAATGAACGAATACACGGTATTTTGTATGTCTAGAGTGCCTCTGCCCAAAGACAGCAAAGCACTTCATGAATACTCACACCTTCACTGTAACCGAAACAAAAAGAATGATGCAGTTCATTAAATTAGGCAAAGTTAACCAACTGAAAATACCTCACTCGCACTTATCAGTCTTTTGTTTGTTCTGATGCCTGTTGCATGGAAGTGCACTTATATAATCTGTATCACAGTGAATTTTGAGCACGTATAGCAATGTCACCTTTCCATCAACATAGACAACACGCTTTCCTGAAGTGGTCCCGTGTTCAAATTCAATCTTGTGAACACCATCACTTAAAGCTACTTCCCAAACAGCCACCAAATCTGTCATCTTCTCTAAGTGGCTGTACCGAGACCTATGGAAACACCAACAAAGTAAATTAATCGTCATTGAAAGTGTTAAATTAACAGATTTCGATAGCTCAAAGCTTCACTGCTTCAGGGCAAGCCGCTTTTTACAAATGAAAAAGGAGACTTGAAAGAATAAGCTCACAGAACTGCTTATATTTTCCTGTTTTTCAAACACTCAAATATGACAAAATACCACAAAATATAAGCAGACAGTTAAACAGGCTCACTTTGACAAACACCATACGAAGACATATAGATCCATCTAACCTCTAAAGCTTCCAGTTCAGGTGACAGGATGGTTACAAAATTACACTTAGAAGTCAGATGCTCCTGGACAGTTCTGCGATTTCTTGCCAGGTGTTAAAATACAGGCATTTTGACTGGTCTCTGACAAAGTCTTTTAGCCTTTTAAACTTGAAAAATATGGTCAGGATGTCCAGTTTAGCTATTACCTGTTTTAACAGATTTGGCTGTAATCTTTCTCATAAACGTTGCCTACAGCATTCAGAAATGCAACTGCGCACACAAACACCCACAGGAGAGGAGATCTGGCAAGACATCCTTTCATTTAGGTCATTTTTGAAGCTTAGACAGAGTCATAAGTGACCACTGGAACTGGGGATATCTTTCCAAATCTGCCCGTACCACAGTGCTGATTTTTTACCTTACTTCATCTTCACAGACAGTAATCTCCTCACGGGATGCCATAGTAACCAAAATGGCTTTTAATCCAATTAGCAGCAAGAAGAAAAGAAAAGCAGAATAGCAGCACAGAAGTGTTGAGGCCTAAATTTTCCCAGTGTTCTCCATTTAAGACAAAGGACATTTTTAAAAGTGTCACGAACTATCACGCACTGCCATATACATGACGAAACGCAAACATAATTTTTCCTCTTAGGCAGAAAGGCAAACGTTAAGTGTCCTACTACAGCATTAATAAGTGCAGTTTATCCTAACTGAATTAGCACATCGTAACTTTGCCAGCTATTTCACGGGAAAACGGTTTGCCGAATTTGCGAGCAAAAGTTTAGAAATGGACAACTTGACCGAAGTGGGGACCAGACCCAGAGCTGCCCATCTCAGTCACAAACCGTACCGAACCCGGGACCGCGGCCACCTCAGGGAAAGCGAAATAGCACAGGCGACAATTTCAACCTCCTCCTTTTTCTAAACCACCGGAGTCGTTTTCAACAATGGCATTAGCAATTTGACCTGGCAATTCGGTCATGAATGTGAGCCACAAACAAATCCCTTGTTTCTTACTTAGGTTCTTTAGACCGTGACCATGTTTTACAACACTGCCGACTTATTTGTGTTACTTTCACTAAACAAATTAATCTGTTAAGAGCTATCTGCACTGTCTGTGCATATCAGTAAGCATAATTTAAGTAAGTGCAAATAAGTGCATTTTTGACAAATTGTAGTTTTCAGTGAAAAATGAATCAGCAGTAAAGTTGTAAGCTCTCGGGTCTCTCTTCAGCATACTAGAGGAGTGCGCAATTAAAAATTAAACCTCCTTCACTCTGTCTTAAGCTTCTGTTTTAAGACATGGTCAAGTACAATGCCGCATCGCTGGCCGTGGTCGTCGGTAATTACACACATTTCTGTTCCGAAACTGAAAAATAAGTTTTAAAAACAGTGAAACCATTTTAAAGACCCTAAGGATTTAATACTTGCAGTGGAGAGCACTCTACACCACCTAATAAACGCTGAGGAGGTGGTTTTGGTTGTTCCTAAAGCCATGGGTTGATTCCCGTGAAGGCTCACGCCCCCGGCACGGGGTGGAAGTCTGGCAGGGTGTCTCTCCCTTCCCCTTCTCCTCGCAGGAGCGGGCGCGGGGGGCTCAGGACAGACCCGGGCTTGGCCCCGCCAGCTCATCGACACCAGGGGTGGCCTCGGGCACAAAAAGAAATGCCAGAAGAGGTGGCACCTACGGCCTACCCACCGGGACTGCTTCACCCCCGGCAGCACGCAACCCTCCCGCGCGAATTTTCACAGGTAATTTCGGATCGATGATGAAAGGGTTAGGAAACATCCCAGAACACGCAAATTCTTATCTATATATATATTATTTAAAAAAACAAAACAAAAACAACAAACCAAGCCATGGTAACGTGGTAATACACGTTTTTTCTTTTAATCAAAACCCAGCTGAACCCAAACTCTAGGCCAGCCCGATGTTTTTGAAGGGCAGTCGATAGCATCAGCGTCCGAAGGGGAAGCCGTCGACCGCCTCATTTCGCTGCACTTCCTGCTAATCACGTCAGCAGCCCCAAATGAGATTTACTTCTTTATACATTAGGACTTGTTTTTAAAACTTGGATAGGATTAGCGCTCTGCATCCACCTAATCCAGGCCTGGGAGCAGGCAGCGGGGGATGGCGCGCCGGGACGTATAGGAACTCCAGAGACGGCAACTTTCTCCCCACCACCCACGTTTTTTGCCAGCAAAAAGGGTTGGGGTTTTTTTTTGGTTTTTTTTTTTAAATTTAGTCCCGACAGCCACCTTTCCAAATCCCTCCTCCGTGCCCCGCGAG